ACACACACACACACACACACATATATATGTATATAGTAACAGAGAAGCATCAACTGTTCTTAAACTCCTTATTTAGGTTATCTAACACACCATAACCGCAGAAACAATTTCAATCAAAAAGGTGTCATCATAATCACATTCTGAAAAAAATATATACATTTTAATTTACTCTTTCCATGAGACAATGTGATTAATTGCATAGGATGACAAACTTCCTTCTCCATTTTAAGATCCTCACTATTACAAAGAACATTAATGTCTGAAAAAATGGGCAAATTGCCCATCATCTGTGTGCATATAGTGTTAGCAGAATAAATAACTAGCATGATAATTCATCGTGATTCTTAAGTGGACTGCATGGCATAACTGTAATAATCACTTAATTGGATATAATTCAAACAAGTAAACATCACAAAACATGCTTCTATATTTGAATGACAAGCTCTAAAATGTCATCTGTAATGTTCCACAACATGTTGAGAGCGTTTCAAGGTGTTTGGGTGAATTTATCAAATTATTGTGGCTAAGTAGTATGAATAATTATATCCAAGTATCATTGAAGAAGAAGAAAATAATGCATATTTATACTAAGAATATTTGAATACTTGACAAAACATCACAAAAAGTAATTACAAGCCCAGTAAGAAAATAAGTAGATACGAAAATATATATTATTATACCTAAATTTTACATTTTTAGCTATAGCAAATTATTTGTGGGAACATACATAAAGATATTAATTAGGACCCTATAATCAGTATAATGTTACCTGTGGTAAATTGTCCCTTTCACAGATTGAACCACTAGGTTCCATCTCTCTGCATATCTGAATGCTCAGTCTTGAATGTATACTTCAGTCATTATTTACAGCAGTATATATTGTAAACCGTAGTTTAACATTGAATAAAAGAGTGAGAGTCCATTTCTAACAGTAAACCAAGCTGACACTGAGATCAACATTTTACTTCAGTGAGTCAGTAGGACTTGTGATTTTTGACTCCCCTGGATAAGGGGTCTTTTAAAGTATATATTTATTAAATTTTGCCTCTGTACTCTGCAACTATAGCAGTATATCATTGTTGTTTTTTTCTCACTGCCTTCCTTTTTAAAGATCAAATGCTTTTCCAGTCTTTGCCAATGGTAATTTGCAATCAATGTTCCTTTGCAGACAATCACTTCTGTCTGTTCTAATTAGAATAGAAGGCTGTCACAGCAAATTATAACCTTGGAGCAAACAACAAAAAATGACAGATAGCACTTAATAATGGGGTATGTCTGATGGAAGAACTGAAGTAGCAGATAAATAGAGATGCAATAATTTCCATACACATCTATCCATAGAGGGAGACAATTGCATGTGTCAAGGCATTTCATCACAGAGGACTGGGGACTTTTCTGTACTTTTAATTTCTCCACATAGGAATCAATTTTGTTTATTATTATTATCATTATTATTATTATATTGTTGTTGTTGCTTTGTTGTGTTATAGAATTAAGTGTAATCATACAATCATATAAAATATATAATTGTATAATAATCCATAATACCATATATACAACCGGCAGGTTTTATGAAACCTGATTATTTAGCCAAAAGAAAAAAAAACGATAAATACTGAGTAAATGTTATATTTGCTCATCGTAGTGTATATTTAAAATGATTTATTCTGTACTGTAGTAGTGTAGATGTGCTGTATGTATACACCCTGTACATGTAGTTCTATGGATTAAAAGAACAGTAATAAATAAATAAATAAATAAAACCTCAGAATCTGACTGATACGACTGACAGGTGTGAACCTGGAGACAGCAGCTTGATCTTCTAAGCCCTGAGTATGAAAGGAGCAGGCAGTTACAGCTCAAACCGCGTATATATTCCTCCTGGATAATTAGCTCCCTTCACACATAATATGGACTTCTGCTACATTTCTGCCAACAGCTCAGCAAGGACGCTTACTTTAAGACAGCAAGAATCTGTTTTCAGACTCTTCTCCCGGGGAAGGAAACTAATTCAGGAACCAGTTATCCATTTTTTTCAGAAATGAATTTCGCAACTTCTTCTCTACCTGGCATATTTTTATGATTGGCAGTGTGTTGTACAGGTTATATTTTGAATTCAGAAGTAATAGGTCAGCTGGAGAGAAAGGAGATGGAAGTGGAAGTGTCATTGTCAATTGTTCGCAACTTTACTGAAGTTAAGAGGGCTGATGTTTTTGGTTTTGATTGTTGCAAATGTTGAAATGTTTTTAAAAAGGCACAACCAATTGATGAAATTACCAAGTCAAATCTGTGTCTGTTACTGATTATGTGGAGCCTGCTATTCTTTGTACACTATTGAGTTGTTGATTACATTGATTGTTGATTAAAATCTATCCCAGATTTTAACTAACCAACATATCTTTTTGTCTTTAGATGTATTTGTGATTTCTAGCCAGTCCACGCAAGGTTTTTTTTAATTGTGTTTTAGAATTAAAAAGAAGCCATTGATATCTGCTCAAAAAAAGTCTTCCAACTTACTTCCCAATTTAAAGAAGTTAATTTGACTTTTGACATTTTCACTCTTTTATTGCTTTCACAGATTTTTATAAAATTGAGGTTATCCAAATGAGGATCTGAACAATGTCGCCAAAAATAAGCAAGTTTCAGGTTTCAGGTGTGGGGACATTTTGATTCCTAAATGTGATCTATGTAACCCCCCCCACCCCCATACACACACACACACACCCATTTGTCTTCATATGTTTGTGGGGACCTTCCATTCATTTCTATGGACAAAACTCTAACACCAACAATGACGAACTTAACTCCTACCTTTTTATAAAATTTTAATTCCCAACACTCACCGAGCTAATATTACGAGCTATTAGGGAGAATGCAGCTGCTGTATGAATAGATGGCACCTTTAGATAAAATGATATACAGAAGATCACATGGGAATTGAGGAATATTTTAAGAACTCTGAAGGTAGCTGGTGACTGAAAGGCTAGGATGAGAGTTGTGATGGGCAGGGGTGCATGGCCAGGTGGGGGCAGGGAAGGTGAGTTCAGTATGTGATGGAGTGGACATGTGGGCAGTGTAGGGCGGCTGCCCCCCCCAAGGGAATTACAGTAGTCAAGTCTGGACAAAATCAGTGCTTGGAGCAGCAGCAGAGAGGATCTAAAGGTGATGAAGGGCTTGACATTGTGGATGCAAGAGCAGGTAACAGAGGAAATGTTGGGGGGGGGGGACAGGGAGGGGGTCAGAGAGACTTCTGGGAGATTATCATACTGTCTACAGTGAGGTGAACGCAGAGGTAAGTAGTAAAGAGGAATAAAAATGCAGCATTCATGTTCACGCCAAAACACCCACCTCCCTGAGTGTTTGTCTTCTGTTTGTTACCATAATTAGCACATGGGGGGTGGGGGGGGTGGAAAAGTCAGTTCTCAGCCTTCATTTTAAGCCAGGTTTGCAAAGCAAGCAGCACTATAAGCATATTAAGTCATGCTTTCTCCAATGCCCCCATCTCGTGTTTAACAACCTTGCTTAGCTGGGTTATCGATGTACTGTAGCAGCGTGCTGACTTGATGATGAGGCTTTGGGTAACCATTAGCTGGCTGACTTATCACAGTAACCGTCTGAATGGTAAGGCTCTGCTTGGCATGTTATCTTCCCTTCTGCAACAGAACCAAACATAAGCACATCACTTTGCCCTCTGTCTCCCTAAATCTGCCAGTCTGTCAACAATTTTATTGGAGCAGATTTGCCCAAAGGGATTGGAGGGGGAGAGCACCTCTGAAGTTGATCCAGCCTGCTTCAAATAACAGAGATTTAGAGAGAGAAACTTGGAACAGTGATTTTTGTCCAAAGTGATGGCTCCCAATACTGAGGACTAGGTTTTCAAAACAGAGATGACGTTAAATAAGCAAATGAATCAGACAGTTATCCACATGGATGAATGAGTCCAGAAAATCCAGTGGTTTGTGATAAATGATAACAACTGCAATAACATATCCTAACCAGCTACAAAACAGAGACATAACATAACTTCAAGTACGTTTAAGCTAAGTACATTTATTAGTTAGTAAACTGTAGCCTGACTGAATTGTGTCCTATCGCACCATGCACAGTAGTTTCCATAATGTATATTGTTCAGAAAAACATATATTGTCAATTGTTATTATTTCAGACACACTTCACTCTTTCTGTACAGATTTCGCTTCAGTGAGCCAAACCTGCAGCAAACAGAGCATGATCTGAATGCCCAATGGATGCTTAAGTCCACTGGGCTGTTAATAGTTTTGGGCAATAGGGATGACATGTTTGTTTGAGTTTTCCTTGGTTCCCTTCCTATTGCTGCCTCAAAGTTTTTAAAGGTGTACATTTGTTGAAATGCCAAACACATGGTACTTCATGCACAAAGCCCCTCAGTGCTAGCATGCCTAAACCGGTTGCTCAGCAGTGGCAGAAACTGAAACACAGTAATTCATCAGCCTTCCAGCGGATCACAATATGAAAGACAGAATATTACAGCTGTGATGCGTTCAGAACAAGAACCTAGTTCTCTAGAAATATCAAAATATAAATAATTAGTCTAGGTAAAAAAAAAAATACTCAATGTGACTTGATGATTTAATTTTTTTCAGAGACAATAAGTCGTTATTTCGACATCTCATGTTAAGCTTCGACTTACTATCTCGTTATAACGACTTATGTCAAAATAACGAGATAATATCTTGTTATAATGACTTATTATGTCGAAATAATGATTTACTATCTCGTTATAACGACTTATTATGTCGGAATAACGAAATAATATCTCGTTATAACGACTTATTATGTCAAAATAACGACTTACTATCTCGTTATAACGACTTATTATGTCAAAATAACGAAAAAAAAAATAATCAAATGCGGTTCAGGGCTTCCGTAGTCATGTACCACAGCTGCTGTGATATTTATTAAAAAATAAATAAATCTTTACGTTCTATATACCTGACTTTACCCATTTCATTCTGGTCTAGGTCTGCCAGTGATGCAGGTGAAGATTGATATCTCTAGGCAACAAGTGGAGAAGATATTTGGTCTGGAGGACTACTGGTGCCAGTGTGTTGCCTGGAGCAGTACAGGAACTCAGAAGAGCCAAAAGTCGTACGTGCGGATTGCTTGTGAGTCTCACTGTCCGGCACAATTGTATGTCAAGCTGCATAAATTGATCAGTTCTATACTGTGTATATAGCTCACTTTGGATGAAAGCATCTGACAGTAAAAATACCAAAACATACACATCTTTTTCAATAAAATTAATAAAATATTGAAAAATACACAGATACATTTTTCTGACTTGAAATGATATTACTGAATCCATCTCACAATTACTTAACACCAGCATTATCTGGTATATATTAGGCTTCAATACATTTTTCTTATTTGTATCACCTCTCAATTAATTTAAAATACATTTTAAACTTGCCGAGATGGATATACAACTATATTGATGCAGAGATTACAGAGGCCCTGGGTTAAGAACATCTGACTTATGGAGAACTCGTACTTATCAACAGAAAGCTTTAAAGCCTATTAAATTAACGATTTGGGTTAAATACAATGGTTTGTAATAAAGAACACATGCACTACTTATTGATGCTCATGAAAATATTATGCAGCCTCACTGGTCTGTTGGCTTCAGGTACTGTATGCAGCTACTTTTATTATTGCTGTATTATTATCATTACTTGTATTATTATTGTTACCCATCCATCCATTGTCCAACCTGCTTATCCTACTGGGTTGTGGGGGGTCTGGAGCCTATCCTGGAAGCAATGGGCACGAGACAGGGAACCACCCAGGATGGGGGGCCAGCCCATCACAGGGCACACTCACACACGCACACCTAAGGACAATGTAGCAACCCCAAGTAGCCTCAGCATGTCTTTGGACTGTGGGGGGAAACTGGAGTACCCAGAGGAAACCCCATGACGACACGGGGA